AATTACTTCTTAGAAAATGAAAATATATAGATAACATTTACCTTAATCTAATTATAGTATAATTATTATCCAGTTTTACTTGCAAAAGATAATAAAAGCAAATAAATATTATTAATATAAGTAATATGGAATAAAGTAAACAAAAGTATAATCTAATATTTAATAACTTAAAAGAAAAACATTTACTAATGAAACATTCATGTAAAAGAATTTAAAAAAAAGAAACTCTTAATTATCTTATATTTTATATGATGATAAAGATTTAAATAAATATTTAAATAAAAATTATAATATATATTTTATTTTTTAACAAAAAATATTCCTATAAAAAATATATTTAATTTTATTTTTTAAACGAATATTTATTTCAATATATATAACTAAATTCTTATTTATTCAAAAAAAAAAAAAACACTTTGTTTTATTAATATAGAAAAAATAGATTATATAAAAAAAAAATTTAAAAAAATTCAAATAATAAATAATTAATAAAAAAAGAAAAAATAAATGAGTAAACACTAAAAAAGTAATTCAAATATGAATTTAAACAGTATAATAAATGATTATTATGCAAATAATAAAAACTAATATATAAGCATAAACGGTAATCCATAAAAAAAACGAGTACCATCAAGTGAAATATATCCATAGACAGCAAAAAATTATAATAATAATACAAGTTATTTAAATAGTAATAATAATAATTCTATAAATAACTAAAATAAAAATAATTAAAATTCATTAAAAACTAATAATTGTTCATAAATATAATAAGAAAATATAACAAAAAGTAAATCAGGACATAATATTAAGAAAAAGCTAAAGTTCATAGATTAGAAATAAATATAAAATTAATTATAATAAAATAATACAAGTAGTGAACAAAAATAAAGCAAAGAAAATTAAAGATAGGGGGGTTCGAAATCTTTAGATTAATCATCATTTAAGAAAATAGGGTAATATCAAAATAATTAATAATAATAATTAGTCAATTAATAATAAATGTGCTAATAATATAAATAATAATAATAATTTTAAAACAAATATTAATAAAGTTAAAAACAAATGAATATTAATTAATATTTAAATGATAGTAAAAATTAATAAGAAAACAATAACAAGTTAAATAATTAATATTAAACTTTTGAAACTAAATATTAAAGAGTACCATTAGCTCATCCTCCAAAATACTAAAAATAATAAATTTAGAACGAAGATTATTTAAAAATGCAATAAGATTATATTTAACAAGAATTAAGTTGTTTGATGACTGAATAACCTGATATTTCTACTATAAAAAATACAATAAATTAAGAAATTTCGAACATAAGTAGAGATTAAAGTACGTTTTTTGATCCGAATAATAGGGATAATTCAATAATAAATAAAGATATATCATATTTTCTGTAGAAAAATAATAATATAGTATAAAAAAATGAATAAAACATAAAATAATAATAATAATAATAATAATAATAATAATAATAATAATAATAATAATAATAATAATAATTTCAAACAAAATATATTCTATAATTAAAATGATATTAGCAGTAATTAAAATAACTTAAATGTAAGTAAATCCTTTATCTTAGATAATATTTCAAAAGATATATCAGTAAATTATTCTAAAGTTGAAGAAATATCAATAATTTTAGAATAAGAAAGGGAAAAGAACTTCAGATTAGAGGAAAAGTTAATACAAAAAGATTAAAAAATTGCAGAAATGAAATAAGTTTAAGAAAACCTTTATCAATCTTTAGAAAAGGCTAAAAAACAAGAATAACTAAATGTCGAGAAATATGAAAGAATTATAAAATAGTTAACTACTGAAATTAATAATTTAAAGAATTAATTAAAATAAGAAAAGAAAATAGAATTTAATGAAGAAAAAAAAACCAATATATATATGAAAATAAAAATGAAAAAATATAATCCGATTTAAATAAATTAGTCGAATGTTTAACAAATATGATCATTTCTTGTGCTCCAAACGGCTATTTTTCATAAAACAAGCCTAGTATTAAATAAATTTGGAAATGGCTAAAAAACGTTTTAAGAGAATACATGATTTTGAAACAAAACGAAAGTACAGTAGATGTAGTTAAGAAATACTTAAATGTATAAAATACATATGAAATCGGATAAAAATTATATAAAGTCATTGTTGATAATAAAACCTGTATGAATATTATTGAACTTATTAAATAAATTTATTTTATTAAATAACCTATTTAAAGTTTATATGAAATTTAACATTTTCTTGAAGTTAAAATTAAAAATAATGATTTTTGAATTTTTTCTTTATTTTCATTTTTTAATATGGAAAAAATTTATATGTATAATTTTATATAATTTATAAATTTTATCTATAATAAAAAAATTTTTTTGATATATATATATATATATATATCTTTGTTTAATAAAAAATATTTTTTTTTTTTTTAAAAAATACTTTTTTTTTATTTTTTTTATTTTTTAGTTTTTTATTCATTTTCTTTATTATATATTTATTTTATAATTAAATTTAAAGAATATTCTTTTTTATATTAATTATAAAATAATATATCTTTTATTATTTTAAAATAAAAAGGCTTTAAAATATTATTATATTTATATTTAGGAGCTATTTTTTTTGTTATAATAGAAATTTTTAATATTATTTTATTTCGCAAAATTTTTATTATACTTTAATTTATATATAATTATTTAAAATCTATTAATAATTTATTTTGTATTATTATATTATTAGATCATTTATATTATTTTTACATATTAGTATTTTTTTTAAAAAAAACTAAAGAAGTTCAAAATTTTGTTGGTGTTAAAAAATTGATTTTTTTTTTTACAAAATTAAAATTTTAATACATACTGTCATAATATTTAGGTTTATATTATTTTAGCGAATTTGCAATACTGAAATATATTATTATGGCGAAAAAAATTTCTATTTTATATTTTTTAATTTTAAAACATATATTTTATTTTTCAATATATGTTTTTTAATTTTCAGTTATATTAAAATATACAAATAAATCTTTTAATTATAAAGTAAATATATCATAGCAAATTATAATATAATTATATATATTAATAAATTAATTATTATATATTAATATTAAAATATATAATAATTAAATATTATTTAATTTTTCTTTAATTGATATTAAATATATATAATTATATAATAAATTATTTTTAAAAAATTAATATTTAATTAAATATTTTTAATTAATATAAAATTTTTATGTTTTCTTAAATTAATAATATATATATATATCTATTTTTTATTTTCATAAGTTACAGATACTAAATAATATCTTTCTTTTTTATTTTATTAATTAATAAAAAATAAAAATTATATATTTTTATAAAAAAAAATGATATTATTTTTATTTTCCTTTATATAAAAATTTAAAATAATCATAAATCTATAATAAATTAAATTCGAATTAAAATTACATGATATTACATTTGTTTATAGTTTATTAGATTAATTATTTCATTTTAATTATAAAATTTTTAAGGATGAAAAAATTATATAATTCATCTAAATGGTTTTATTTAAAAGCTAAAGTAATAAATTGTTTTAATGTTACTATTATATATTGCTTTATTTAAATTACATATTTTTAAAAATACACAACACATATTTAAAAAAAAAATTCTAATTATCATTAACTTAGAAACAAATATTAACATAGATATTTAAAGCAAACAAAAAAAACAAAAAAAATAAAATAAAAACAAATTCAATTATTTTTTAAATAGAAGAAAATAAGCTATTAATATTTAATAAAAATAAAAAAAAAATATTATTTATTATATTATTTAATTCTTAATTAATTAATTATATGAAAAACAAATTTATAAAAAACAAAATTAATTAGATTTTTAAAAATTTTTTGTTTAACAATTTAAATCAAAAATTTATTTATAATATAAGATATATATAAATGTACTATAATTTCACATTCCTATAGCCTAAACCATTTTTTATTCTATAATTTTTTAATATTAACTAGGCTAATTTAATTTAAGCATATTATTTTCTTTTTGAAAATCGATATCAATATTATATTTATTTAAACTAATAATATCCAATACCTAAGCAATATGAATAAATATGCTTTTAGATTAATAACTATTAATTTGTTTTTCAAGGACATCATTTAACTAAGTTGAATAATAAATAAGTTATTCTTCAAGGTAATTATCAAAATTATTAGTACATTTAGTTTATACTATTTCCTCATTTAATTCTTTTGAATTACTTTATTATAAAAGAGTTTATTTTAAGTCTTCAAATTAAAATTATATTATTTATTATTCTTCTTTAATTGTTTCTTCTATATTTTAATATTAATAACTTTGCGAAAATTTATCGAAATATTTTAAGTTGAAAATATTCTATTTATTTTTTAATTATTCTACTAACTCAGAATTACATTAGAATATTTTTTTTAAAAGTAAAAACAAAGGAATAATTTAATTAACATTTTATATTTGAAATTCATAAGCTTATTATACAACACATAACATCTATTAATAAACCTAAAATAAAAATATAATAGTTAAATTTTATTAATATATGTATATATTTTTTTTATACATTTCTCCTTTTTAAATATTATTAGATATAATTTTAGAATTATTGTTAAATTTCCATATTTGTTAAGGCTTAATTTTCTATTTATTTAATTTGTTCTTCAGATAATTATTGTGCTTCTTTGTATATTTCTTATGGTTATTAAATTTAATTTTTTTCTTGTTTTTATTTTATTACATCATCATACGACTTTCCTTTTTATAAATATAGTTATTATCTAATTTAATTTTAATTTTCAGGTTTTATAATTAAATTATTTGGATTCGGATAAAATGGAATTTCTTTTTAAGAACCTATATCTGCTTTTTAAATATATTTCATTTTTTATATATTCATGTTTTAATAAAGTTCTTTTTATTTTTTGTCTTTAATATCTTAATTAAACTATTATTATTATTCTGGTTTATTTATTATATATTAATTATTTACCATTAGAGGTTGATTTTTTTAATTTTATATATCTTTTAATTACTATTCACAGTTATTTTTTTATTAATTTAAAGCATACGTATTGTGTTAATTTTCCAATACAAGCTTCTCATATTTTTATTATGCTTAAACTAAATTATTTTATTTCATTTATTGTATATCGTTATTATTATTATTAAATAAACACTTATCATAAACATTATTATTTACTTGATTTGGAGGAAACAAATTAGGTTATTACTATTATTAATATTATTCATAGAATTTTTTATTGGAATTAATAATAAAATTGGAAACATTAATATCCTATACTTATAATACTTTATTTGTTAATTTATCATTAAATACTTTATGATTATATATATCTACCCATTTAATTCTTTAATTTCTATCATATTAAAGCATTGATTTTATTAATGATTTCATTTCATCTGATATTTATTATATATTAGTTTCTATAATTAATCCTCCTTTTCTAATATTATTTAATAACTCTATTTCATTTCTTCCTTTAAAAGGATAATTACTATATAATATTTAATAGAAAATAACTCCTAAACTAAAAAAAAAAAAGTTTTTTTTTATTTAAGTTTTTTTTTTTTTTTTCTACCTATATACATCAACTTCTAATCCATATTGTCGTTTTTCCATTACTTCTGGAGCCATTGTTAAAGGAGTTCCTAAAACTGTTTTAGTTAAATCTATTCCTGCAAGGCTTTTTGCAAATCCTAAATCCGCTATTTTCCATACTGAATTTTTTATAAGAATATTTGGACATTTTAAACTAATTTATTATTATTTTTTTATCTGATTTTTTTTATTTTACTCTCGGTGTACTATTTTAAACTCATGTAAACCTTTTATACCATTAAGGAGTTATTTAAAATATGAAATAGCTTCATCTTCTTTAATAAATTTTCTTATTTTTAGTAATTAATCAAGATCTTTATCTGTACAATACTCTAAAACTAAATAATGAGAATCAAAATATTAGAAATAATCTACAAATCCTACAACATTTTAATTTTTAATTTTACTCAATGCATCAACTTCGAATTTAAATAATTTATATAATTCAGGTTATAACTAAAAAGTTCTAGATTATATTTATTTAATAGCTATGTAATCTTATGTTTATAAATTTATTCCTTTGTATACAGTTGCAAATGCTCCACTCCCTAATTTTCAATAATTAAATATTTATTTTAATTTTTTTGATTTATTATTGTTTTGTTTTATTTAATATTATTATTTATAATCATATTTGTTTTTTTGTTTTTTTATTCCTTTTATTTTATTTTTTACTATTTTTTATTTACATTAAATTTTTTTATACTTTTTTAAAAAAGGATTATAAATTAATAAAATTGATATTACTAAAGCATCTTTATTAAATTAATTAAATATATAATTTTTTAATTATTATTTAAAATTATAATTTAGATAAGAAAATTATGTATATATTCTTATTAATTTAACTATAAAAAATTACTTATAATAATAATTTTTTAATAAATTAATTTAAAAATTAATTAATTGCTATTTTTAAATTTTTAATAAATTAATATAAATATATATTTAAAAAAAATATTAAAAAATAATTATAATATTATGATTATTTTTATTTAATTTTATATTATAAAATAAAATATATTTTTAATTAAATTTTTATATATAATTTATTTAATTAAAATTTACTTTATTTAATTTTTTTATAAGTTTTATATATTTTTTTAAACTTATTTATAATAAAAAATTAATATAACATTTATTTTAATTTTTTATATGTATTATATTTTGAATAATATAAAAAAATAATTTTCAAATATATAAAAATAAAATAATATTTAAAAAATTAACTTAAATAAAAAATATAAATATAATATCATTTATTTAAATAAAAAAATGTCATAAATTTTATCACAAATTACTAATTTATAGTAAAAAAAAAAAAAAAATTAAAAAAAGTCAAAAATTATACAAAAAAAGAGGAAATAGAACTTGGTAATGCAATTCTAAAACTTACTAAAAGTCCAAGAAAAAATAAAAGCGTCCATAATCATAATTAGCATTACAATAAACATTTGAACATTTATCCCATTTTAAAAGCCCTAGTAAAAATTTACTATTAAACATCGAAATTTAAAGCAAAAAGCATGACTCATTTATGTTTTCCTTAGAAAACTTTATAAAAACAAGCAAACAAATTCATTTTAGTATCTAAAAGCATGTTTAAGCTTTAGATTTTAACGGTAGATTTGCATTTTAGTAATTCGAAAAAGACTTAGAATCATTACAAAGGCAAAAAAAAATAATCGATAAGAGTTGTATTATTGAAGAGAAAAGCAATTCGAGAGATTTAAGGATATTAGAGGAAGAAAATGAATGTTTTTTAATGGAAATATAATAGCTTAAGACATAAATAAAGACATTAAATAATGAATAAATATGTTTAGATAAATAATGGAGGGAAGAAATTGAAAATATTAAGCAAAAAAATTAAAAAATATTTGAGAAAAGTGAAGAAAGAAAAGAATGTATTATAAAACTGAAAGAGATTTTAGAAGAAAAGGAGAAATAATTACATAAATTGAGATTTATTGATGAGAAATATCCTCAGAAGGAGCTTTTATGTTTTTTAAAGGAAATTTAAAGGGATAAAGAGATAAAGAGTTTTATAGAATTAAAAAAAAGGAGGAAAAATTAAATGAGATTTTGAGAAAAAATCAAGGGAAAATTTAAAACTAGAAAAAAGTGGAAATCGAAGAAATGATTTTTTTCCTTGTTTAAGAATAATAAAATTTAATTCAGTCTTTTAAAAAAAATGAAGGGGAATCATAAAAATAAAAATATAATATAATGAAAAATAATTAAGATTTTTTTAATATTTAAGACGTCGAGTTTGTTATTAGGGAAAAAATGGAAATTTAAAAAAATGAATTTGAGGATATTTTGGATGACTTTTTGATTTTATTAGAAGTTAAAGGAAATTTTTTAAATAAAAAAGATAATATAAAAGATTCTATTAAGAAATTGGTTGAAAACAGGAAATCTTTGGAAATTTTAGTTAGAGATTTATAGAAAAAAAACGAAAGATTGGAAAGAGAGAGGACTTTTTGGATTAATAATAATAAAAATGAAAATTGGATAAAAAAAGATAATTCCGAGGAAATAAAAAATGAGGAAGTTTTATTTTTAAATAAGGAAGTGGAGAAAGTGAAAGATGAATTATATTTAGTTTTAAATAATTTGAGAAATTTAATGAAGTTTTACGGATTTTTGGATGATTTTGAAGATAAAAATGTCGATTTTATGTTAGAGAAATTAAGCTGGGTTATTTGTTAAAGGGAAAAAGAAAAAAAAGAACTCGAAAATACTGTTTAGAGTTAAAAGGAAATGTTATAAAAAGAAATTTTGAATTTTTAGAAAAAAATTGAAGATTAAAATTAAGAATTTGGATAAAAAAATCTCTTTTTGTAAAATTTAGAAAATGTTTTGGAAGAAAAAGAGAAGGTTTATTTTATATTTAATAGTATATATATACATTAATGTATTTTTTATGTATATGTATACTTATTTATAATTAGGTTATTATAGAATAAATGAAATATATTTAAAATTAAAATGATGTTTTAGATAGTAAGAAGAAAAAAGAATTTGAATTAGAAAGAAAAGTTTAAAATTTAGTTGGTTAATTAGAAGAATAAGATATATATGTATAAGATTTGAAAGTAAGAATTAAAAATTTAGTTGGAAAAATAGAAGAAAAGGATATTCTTTTGTAAGATTTTAATGGAAATATGTAACATTTTGATAAAATAAAACTAGAATTACAAAGAAGTATTTTCGAAAAGGAAAAATTATAAAATTAGGTTAATGATAAAGAAAAAATAATATAGGATATTTAGAAAAAAAGTAATAATAATGAATTTAATGAAAAAGATAAGGTAGTTTAGAAATTAAATTCATAAATCTAAGAAAAAGAAAATATTATATAATAAAAAATAGTATTGGTATAAGAAAATAATTAAAAATTATAAGAAAAAGAGAAGTTAATTTAAAATTATATTCATTAACTATAGGAAAAAGATAAAGTTATATAAGAAAATATTAATAAATTATAATAATAAGATAAACTTATATAAGAAAATACTTAAAAAATATAATAAAAAGATATTATTAATTAATAAAATAATGCTTTACTTTAAGAAAAAGACGATTTTATTTAAAAAATATTAAATAATTAGGAATAAAAAACTAAGAAAAACTAAGAAACAAATTAAGATTAATTTATCGAATAATTTTAAAAAAATACTGACAATATTATATTATAAAAGGAATAAAAAATATAATCTTTAGTTTAAGAATTGGATTAATGTAAATATGAAAATAATTAAATTCTTAAATCTTTTAAAGAAAAAGACTAATAAATATAAACAAAAGAAGATTTTATTAAAAAATAAAAAGAAAGTTTATAAAAAAATGAAGAGAAAATATAATAATAATAAGTTTAAATATAAAATTTATAAGAAAATTTCCAATAAAAACAATATTAAAATTAAGAATATTAATAAAAATAATAAGAAAATGAAAAAAAATAATAAGAAATTGAATAAAAATATAAAGAAAATTTATAAAAATAAGAAGATATTATATAAAAAAACCTAGAAAAAATTTAAAAATTAAAAGAAAAAATTGATAAACTAGAATAAGAATTAGAAAAAGAAAGTATAATTAAACATGAAAATATAATCTTAATTCAAAATTTAAAGAAAGATAATTAACATATAATAGAAGAAAGAAATGAAATCAAAAAAGAAATTCAAAAAAATATAAAAAAAATAAACGAATAATAATAGGAAATAGATTAATTGTAAATAAAAATTTTATTAAAAAATGAAAAATAAAATGAAAATTCTTCAGATTTTAAGTTATTGAATAATAAAAATAAACTCGCTGATATGGAAGAAAGACATGAAAGTCAGATTTTAGATTTAAATGCGTAAATTATTCAATAAACTGAATAAATATTGACTCTTTAGAAAAATAATTAATAAATCGAGTAAGAAAAAAATTAACTTTTGGAAAAAATTTTAAAGCATGAAAACTTTTTGGATTAAAATAATATTATTCTTCAAGATCATGAAAACCAAATTAAAGAATTAGAAAATGAAGTTTTTACATTAGAAAGTAAAAATAAAGCTTTCGAAAATCAAGTTTCTTCTTTACAATAATATATTGATTAGTTAGAAAATAACCAAAATAATGATAATAATTAAGTTCTTAAAAGTTCTTAAAACTTAGAAGTTTAAATATAAAATTTGTAATAAGATAATGAAAGACTGGTCTAATAGATTTCTTTAATTAATAAAAATTCTTAATAAGACAAATAAAATATAGAAAAATAATCTAAAGATTAAAAAAATTCTTAATAAGAAAATTCCGATTAAAATTTCGAAGAAATTCTCGAGGAAAATTTCGTGGAAAATTTCGAGGAAAATTCAGAAGAAAATTCCGAGCAAAGTTAATTTTATTAAAAAAATGATGAAAACGAAATATATGAAAAAACAAAAGAGAATAAAAATATAAAAAATAATGAAAATTCAGAAATAAATAATATTCAATAAAATTGTTAAAAATGTATTTAATATTAAATGGATTATAATTTGTTATAAGAAAAATAGCAATTAAATATATAAGATTATATTCAAAAAATTAAAGATATATAAAAGGAAAAAAAGATATACTTACATATACTTACAAAATCGAATAAATAATTGAACAAATAATTTAAGAAAAATAAATTAATCTTAATTTAGACGATAGTATTAAAGAAAATAAAGAAAAACTTGGAAAAATAAATTACTTTTTATCTAAACTAATCAATAAAAAATAAAATTAGAGTAAAAATAAAGATAATGATATTTTCTAATTTGCCGATTTTGGTGATTTTAATGAAGAAATAGATGAAAATATGCATAATTAGAGTTCATTTGCAGATAATTCTATGATATAAGAACTTTAAGAAAAAGAAAAAGGAATAAATTAAGATTTTTTAAAAAAGGAATAATAAAATTTAACGAAAGAATAATAAATTTTAAACAAAGAAAATGAAAACTTAAAAAATGAATATGAAAATTTAAAAAAATAAAATGAAGAATTAAAACAAGAAAATGAAAATTTAATAAAATAATTAGAAAAATTAAATGAAGTAATAAGAAATTTAAACGAAAAAATAAAAGGTACTAATAAATAGGTAGAAATTTTAAATGAAGAAAAAGAAGAAATCATTAGATCAACAGATAATCAAATGAAAGAC